GGCGGGGAGGATGTAATTTTAAAACGGCGACGTTACGTTTGAATCCTAAAATAGTGGCTGCCGTCTTAACGGTGAGTCAACTAAGCCGAAGTAAATGTTGGTTTAACAGGCGAACATAAGAGAGAGAAACTGGCGACGTGCCCATCCTTATTTGACTACAACATGCTCGCGGCATTCGCCGTTCATGGTTAATATTTGCCGTGAAACTCGTTAGCGGTAACTGTCAAAGTGCTCACGCCATTTGTGTGCAAACAATGTAATTTATCTGTGAAAATAGTTTCCAGATTTTACCATCATATCAAAATGCATACGAACCAGGCTAGTTCTAGGTTCGGTTGTGGTTTATCGACTTGTCCTTGCACTTTTCAGACACTGGCTGCACTTAAGTCACATGCGTGGGAAGCACACAATATTCCGTTTGCTGTAGAGCTGCTCAAATGGATGCGGTGATTTGTGAGGCTGAGCGATGTTGGCATATATCTCTCAATTTGCGGAGCTTGTGTGACCATTTCAAATGGCATATAAGAGATGGGGGCGGGGGAAAGGTTACATGCCCCTTTCCCAACTGTGGGGGGAAAAAGTCATAATCATGTGAAAATCGTCTTTTACATTCCACATCAGCAGGATACAGACTCTCTGGAGAACCCTCCACAAATACTTAATGATGGGTCAAGCTGTAGGCAAGACGGTGACATCCATGGCGACAATCATATGCATTTTAATATTGAAGATGATGATGGCAATTATGTAGAAGAGGATTTTTGAGGATGCTGGCTAAATTGCTGCTACCAGCCACCACTCACTATCTGTTGTTTCAACAGATCCGTCTCTCTACCTGAAGCAGCTTGTGCTCACGCTGACTGGGATTGATGTTACCACCAGACTCATGGATTCTCTCAGCAGAAATGGGAAAAAGGTGCTACACTTTGGAAAAAGTGAACTTCCATGGTGGAAAAAGGATGTTGGGACAGTCCTGAAATACATAGATAGTGCTGGTAATGGAAACATCGACTTTGGCGTTGTCTACACTCATCACAATGGCCTACTTCAGAGAGAAGGAGGACTCACTCTTCTGCCTGATGTTAGTATTAATGCTTATAAATAGCTATTTAAATTATGTCCTTTAAAGGAGAGGCAGTTAGAAGGTAATGTGAAGAAAGACTCAGGTATGTTATCTGTATATGTAATGAATTCCTTCCAACAACTTGTTGACTGCTGCACTTGGGTCACTACAACTCCAGTAGATGTAGATGGCAACCTCTCTCTGCCCACCACCCCAAGGCTGCTCGCACTCGATAAGGCTATGAAAATGTTTGATTGATACTATGGTTGAGATTATGATCACCTGGAGGATCTGCTTTAATGCCATATTGCTTCTGAGGTCTCCTCATTTTATATTGTATGTGCTACACCCTGTAACGGACTTCGCTATTGGTTAACCGCATCCAAGAAATGGCTAGCAATTGGACATGATTAATAATTAATATAGCTAGTTTCGCAAACTAATATGTTTTATTACTATCAACACCTCAGTATAATGTACTATAACACAATCTTTAAGGTCTCTCACTTTGTCACCCATTATTGTTAGTCATAAGTGCCATTATCCATCCATTTTCCAAACCGCTTATCCTTCTGGGTCACGGATGAGATGAACTGCGTTAGTGAAATGACATGAGACTAAGTTTAGAGATGGTGCTAGTTTGAGTCAGACATTTTCAGGAAAGTCTGGCTTTCTTTAGCTACTTTCATGGAATTCCCCCCTGGTTTGTGAAATAATGTATTATTTCTTATACTTGCAGGTTCATTATGAGGAACAACACTGATGGCACCAATCGCCAATCAAAGTCACAGATTACCCAGAAATCCGGAAAGCGGGTCCAACGAAAAAGCACTACCCTGAATCCCCTAGTGGCATCTTTCATGAAAGTGTTTGTCAACTTTGGCAAAATTGCTGAAATGTAACAACAATAACTGTGTCTTTTTTTGTTTGTTTTTGTTAGGCTTGCTTTGCTTTTCAGAACGTATACGTTTACATTTTAAAAGTGGTTGTTCCCCCACTTTGGTCACGTAATTGAGTAATTGTTACAGTTGTAATGTGAATGCATTTGTAATTTGTACTTTTCAAAAGAAAATGGTCAACAAAAAAAGCTGTATTTAAGGACAAAGGTTCATGAGTAATTGTGATTTTGAGGGGTAAGGTTATGGTTTACAGTACTGTACTGCAGTTGGATCAGTTTTCCATATCAAATTTTGAATTTTGTTTAACGTCAATAACATTAAACACTAGCTTACTCTCACCTATAGAGAGCAAGCTGGGGGAGACATTAAGAAAA